ATATATTATATATAATTTATAGGTACTTATATAATATATATTTATATTATTTATATATATAATATATATTAACATATATATAATCTATAAAAACGGATTTAGATTTTTCATTTATTTACTATCAGGACAAATGGGAATGACTGAATAGTTTTCAAAGTGTAAGTTGTTAAGGAATCACCTGGTATCTTAAAATGCAGATCCTGATTTAGTAGGTCTAGGAGTGAGGCCGGAGATTCTGAATACTAAAGGGCTCCCATAGATGCTGATATCTACACTGCTGCAGGGAGATCACACTTGCAGTGGCAAGGACATAAACGAGAGAAAGAGCTTCTTCACCTATTCAGACATAAAGATTTAAAAGTTTGATCTATGTGGGGGATGGGCATTCCTCATCTATTCATTCACCAAATGAAGGTCTGTTATGCATTAGTCCCTGAAGGTCAACATTAAGGAAAGCAGACACTGCCCTGCACTCATGGAGTTTCCCGCCTAGCGAAGGAAGGAGCTGGATATTCAGCAAAAAAAAAATGACAAAGTTCAATACACAAAGGACCCTTTGCTGGAACCTAGACTCTCTGTCTTCCGCTCCTAGGGCCCCTAGGTACCCGGGCACGCTTGCCCGACGCTGGGCCGTCCCCTCCGCTGATTGGCTGGCTGGACCAGACCTCAGCCAATGAGGCTAGGGCAGTGAGTGGCCGTTGACCGAGGTAACCGCCCTGCTGAGCGGCGATGGCTGGGGCTGCTGGCCGCATCCGAGGCCGTGCCCTGGGGCGCTTTCAGCCCGCCCTATCCGTGGGCGATGTGAGTATCTTTGAGGTTAGAAATGAAACCCTTTTTAACACATTTAGGCTTGTTCCTCACTCTCACCTCTGGAGGGGCAGCAATAGTAATTATAGCTAATATGTGTCAAGCTTTCGCCATAAGCCAGCCACTGGGCCAAAAGCCTTAGTTGAATAATTGAACCGTGCAGTGGGTACTTACCATAATTTCGGAGGAGTTGGAGGCTGCCTGAGGTCACATGGGAGTAAATGCCAGGATGCTGAATTCAAATCCAGCTGCTCTTACGACCCTGGGTCCTCTATGCACCAGTTTGGAAACCAGTTTGCTTCTTAGCAGTTGTCTCCCATTATGCTGGTGTGTGGGATGGTGACAGAGTCTAGAATCCTGACGCTAATTAAGCTTGGGGGTTGTTTCTTAATAGAGAAAAGCAACCCATGCTAATAGCATTTATGGGAAAGATAAGCACCAAATTTAGGAGAGCTGCTGTCTCTTGGATGGCTATACAGGGGGCTTCAATCGAATGTTAACTGTTTTACTTATTAAGCCCTAGGTGGGAATCTAGATGTTTATTGTATTATTCCCCTTCTTGCCTGAAATACTCACAACTTTAAAAAGAAAATATGCACATGGAAAATGAATTTCAGAGGATAAAGTGTACACAACGAAAAGTAAGTCTCCCACCCCAGATTTCTAGAGCCCCTCACTAGAAGCAGGCACTGTTAGCAGTTTTGTATCTCATTCTCTATAGTATGTACAAGCATATATGAGGTAATTTTTTTGCACAAGTGTATCCTATTGTATACAGTCCTACACTTTGGATTTGTTTTTAATCTCATTATACTTTAAAACAATTTGTTAACCTCCTTTAGCCCTGTGATCAATTTAATTTTGCTGGCAAAATTTTCTCAAGATTGCTTCTGACATGATGAGATGTAGGTCATGTCTTCCCTGGATGTGTTTGCCTTTTTCTTTTTGCACATCCTCACCTATAGATTTCCAAAAAAACTTCATCAAATTAACCCTAAAGGGTGCAGAAGAAAAAGAATCATGGCAAATAGGGTATTGCCTAGAAATACTTTACTATTTCCTGAACATTCTTACTCATACTCTACAGGTAAAATTCTACAGCCTGCTACTGCTTGAAATTAATTTACTGAAGTGGAATATTGGCAAAGAGAGAGAAATGGGGATTCGTTTTCTCAGGTTGCAGGAAAATGCCAGCTTCTTTCTAGTGAAGTAATAAGGGAAGAGGACCTTGTTTGTTTCCAGTTAGGGGAAAAAGTGTGTGTCACACTTAATCCTTATTTTACCTCTTCTAGAAGCCCAAGATATTTTTTTCTTTAAAAAATTCTCCCAATCATTCAACTCTTAAACGGGAGAGCTGGGATTCCAACCAGGCACAGCTAACTCCAAAAGTCATGCCAGATAGGGAAGAGTTTCCTGGAATGAACTCATTTGCTCCTCAAGCTGCTTTGCGTGGCCCTTTGCATCTACCTCCTACCAATTTCATCCCTGGCTGTTGTCAGTACTCACAGAAATTGAAAGAAATTGTGTCCTTCAGACACAAACCTCCTTGCTCTTTCTTGTTTCAATTCTCTACCTGGAACACATTTCCCTAGCACCTTCCTTGAGTCTTTTTGAAGGTGTAATTCTTTTAGTCTGCCAAATTTTTAACCAAATGGCGTTTGATATGGCTGATTCCTAACACCTGGGCACTGAAATGACAACCTGAAGATCTCCTTGTTTCAATATGCATTTTGGTGACTACTGTATCTGTAATGGCTGTTTTGATACATTCAATCTATGTGAGCTACTGTGGCAGCGTGCTGGGCGGGAATGTGGTTTTGCTCGTGGGTTGGACAGCCAGTTGGCAGAAGTGTAGGTGTTTTCAGACAACTACCTACCTCAGTCTGTATTTCTGGACATTAGATAAGAAAACGTGAGCTAAGCAGAGGTAAGGGTGGGGGTCCGAAAGCGACGGAAGCTGCAGCTGGAAGTGGGCGAGGGGAGAGCCGGCGCGGATTCCTACGTCACTGTGGCGCGCCGCTTCCGGTCTCCAGCGCCAAAGCGAATGACTTCCCCCTCTGTGGGGCCGGAGCGGGGCTTGCTGCGACCCCACGGAGCCCACGATCGCGCTTCCCCAGCCAGCGAGTCCGCCAGCACCAGCGTCCCACCGGCGCCTGGGACCATGGCCACCGACTCATGGGCCCTGGCGGTGGATGAACAGGAGGCAGCGGCCGAGTCGGTGAGTTGGCTTCAGCCATAAAAGCGTTAGGGGTCAGTTTTGACCGACGATCAGTTCCCTTGGAAAGACAGTTGCTACTTTGGTCAGGATGGGTATAGAGTGCGTGTGGGAATGAAGCCTGGACTTTGAGCGGCTTTGTTTATCCATCCGCCTCCTGGGTTACATAAGAGCAGGTAAGTGCTCCCAGGGATGAAGAGCTCAGCCGCCTGCCCGTCTTCCCTGAATCAAGACTGATTGTAGACTGCACTCCCCACATCCCACTCCCAACCTTGGATTGTAATCACCTTTGTGTCATTCTCCATCTCTGGATTCTGAACTTCCTGGACTCTGGGACCGTGGCTTACTCATCTTTGTGTGCTTCCTCAGCATGCTTAGTGATAATGAATGATCGACTTACTAGGCCCAGCAGTCAGTAAATCCTCTTCTGATCACCTTAACTTTTGTTCTGGGCCTCATGCACAGTAAACAAGATAGGAGTTAAACGTGACTATGTAGAATTCATTCTTCCCACCTAAACACTCTAAGTTCTGATAGTGCTTTGAACCTACTTGTTAGTACTTATTTCTGTGAATCTCTTGAGAAAAAGGACTTTGTCTTATTTTTATAACTGATAATAATTTATAAGCACATAATTCAGAGTCAAATAGTTTTAAAAACTGGTTCCACCACCACCAATTTTTTCCTCCCCAGAGACAACTAATAGTTCTCTTGAAACTGATTTATATCATTGACCTCCTTGTTCCCTTTAGGGAACACATTTGTTTTGCTAGTTCTTGAGTTTTCAGTTTTAGGTATTTACTGATTTTGATTCTTTCCTCCATCCTCCTTTCTCCACCACACATGCACACTTTCCCATTCCCTACCTTTTCATTATATTGTAATTTTAGTTAGATCAGTATTTCATGTTTCTATAATTAGTAACTTATCAATACTTTTACTTTCCTCTAAAACTTTCTGTTTTTCCTTGGAATTTATAATTGCCTTGCAGTTTTTCTTCATGTTCTTTGTATTTATCACCAATTCAACCCCAAGCTCTTTGCTAATTGTCTAAGATTATCTCAGGATGTTCAGACACATTATTCTGTTAATTTAATTTCCCCCACATCTTTTAGCCTCCTTCATTTTGGACTAGTTCTCCCTGTGTTCAGAACAGAACTCATTTTGGGGTCTGGAGGAAAACAGGGCAGATTTCCCTTCAGCTTCATTCTGGGGATTCACTCCTCTTGTATCCCCTCTCTTCATCTTTCTTTTTTTTTAATGTTTATTTTATTATTTTTGAGAGAGAGAGAGAGAGAGACAAAGAGTGGGGGGGGGGGAGAGGTAGAGAGTGAGAGGAAGACACAGAATCTCAAGCAGGCTCTAGGCTCTGAGCTGTCAGCACAGAGCCTGACACGGGGCTTGAACTCGGTAATAGCCAGATTGTGACCTGAGCCTAAGTCAGACACTTGACTGACTGAGACACTCAGGTGCCTCTCATCTTTCTTGATTTGGTGGAGCCATCCATCAGCTTTCTGGAGGTGTATGGGAAGTAAGTATTTTTAAGATACTACTGAATTTCTGGAACTATCTTATTTTGCCCTATCATTTGGATAATATGGCTGGATGTAGAACTGTAGGTTGGAAATTAATTTCCTACCAAATTTTAAAGGCATTGTGTCATTGCCTTTTAGATTTCTTTATTGGTTATAGAGATGTCTGAGACCATTCTGATTCCTGATGTGACCTGTTTTTCCCTTTGTAAGCTTGAAGAATCTTGTTTGTCTCCATTATTCAGCAAATTCATGCTAATAAGTCTTGGTATGGATCTATTTGCATCCATTTTGCTGGGCACTGGGTGGGTCCTTTCAATCTGGAAAATCTTGTCCTTAAGTTATGAGAAATTTTCTCGAAAATTTTCATTGTTGATTTCTCTCCCTTATTTTTCTTCATTTCCTCTTTCACGAATTCTTACTAGTTGACTAGTTGGATCTCTTGGACTGGCCTTCTATAAAGTTTTTGCTTGTTTAAGAAAATTTTTTTATGTTTATTTTTGAGAGAAAGAGAGAGACAGAGCGTGAACAGGGGAGGGAGGGGCAGAGAGAGAGGGAGACACAGAATTTGAAGCAGGCTCCGGGCTCGAGTTGTCAGCACAGAGCCCGATGCGGGGCTCTAATTCACAACTGTGAGATCATGACCTCATCTGAAGTCGGACGCTTAACTGACTAAGCCACCCAGATGCCCTGGCCCTCTAAAGTTTTTAAGTCAAGTTTACTGAGATACAATTTACGTATAGTAAAACTCACCCATATTCTGTGAATTTTGACAAAGGCATCCAGTTGTGTAACCATCACCACAATCAGGATGTGGAACATTTCCACCACCTCCAAAAAGTTCCCTCAAACTTTAGTCACTCCGTTCTCCCCACCCTTCTCTGGCAACTGCTGGCTTGTTTTCTGTCTCTTTAGATTTGTCTATTCTGGACATTTTATATAAGTGATATCATACAATAGATGGTCTGTTGTGTCTGGCTGTTTTCACTTAGCATAATGTTTTCAAGGTCCATTCATATTGCAGCAGGTGTCAGTACTTCATTCCTTTTTATTGCCAAAAAATATTACGTTGTCTAGATATATCCCATTCTGTTTATCCCTTCATCAATGTCCATTGATGAGCATTTGGATTGTTTCTACTTTTTGGTTATTTTGAATAATGCTGGCTATGATCATTCATGTACAAGTTTTTCTGTGAACATGTATTTTCATTTCTCTTGGGTGTACACCTAGAAGTGGCATTGTTGGATTATATAATAACTCTATGTTTAACTTTTGAGGAACTGTCAGCATTTTTTCCAAAGTGGCTGCACCATTGTATCATCCTTAAAATGATTCTTCTCTTTTTTTCTTTAGTTTATTTATTTATTTTGGGAGAGTGAGCAAGTGCATACAGGAGAGGGGCAGAGAGAGAGGAAGAGAATCCCAGGCAGGCTCTGTGCTGTCAGTGCAGAGTGCAACGCAGAGCTCGATCTCACAAACTGTGAGATCATGACTTGAGCTGGAAGAGTCAGATGCATAACTGACTGAGCCACCCAGCTGCCCCTAAAATGATTATTTCCTATGAGAATAGTATTATCTATGAGAGGCACCATTGTGTAGAGGTTAGAACCTTAGCTTTTGGGGTGCCTGTGTGGCTTAGTCGGTTAACCATCCAACTCTTGATTTCAGCTCAGGTCATGATCTCCCAGTTTGTGGGTTTGAGCCCTAAATGGGCTCTGTGCTGACATCGCAGAGCCTGATGGGGATTCTGTCCGTGTCTCTCTCCCTCTCTCTCTCTCTCTCTGCTCCTACCCCACTCACTATCTGTCACTCTCTAAATAAAATAAACTGAAAAAAACAAACCAAACCCTTAGCCTTTGTAGCCAGACAGACTTGGATTTGTATTCTGGGTCCATCATTTACTAGTTATGTGACCTTGGGCAAATGGCTTAACCTTTCTGTGCCTCAGTTTCCACATCTGTAAAATGAAGATAATCAGGTTACCTCATTGGGTTATGGACATGCCTATTACAAGTCCTACATGCGTAATAGCCATTATTATCATTATCTATAATGCACAGTTTCTTTGCAGGAATCTTTTAAATTACTTGCCCATATTGTATGGTTTAGTTAGTTGAGCCTGGATAAGGTTTGTGAATCTACTTAACCGTGCACAGGTAAATTAGATCACAATATTCTAACACTGAGCAAATGAGTAAAGACACCTCTGTTACCCTCTGCCTTATGGAACTGCTACTGAGGATCACCACAGGTACTGTGTGACATAGGTGACAGTGATGTGTATAGTACAGGGTTACTGTATTTTAAATATTCATTAAGCTTCATTCCTTATTCATCTTAGATAAGAAAAATTAGATTCTATTTATATTTATTTCCTTGTTCTTCAGTGGCTCCACTCTGTTCACCTCTGTTCCGTTGGAGACTTCTTTTCAATTTAGAGGAGGGCAAACAGATTAGAAAACTGATGAGTATGACTCAAGTCCTCGACTTCACCATTTTGCCGAAGACAATCTCTATTCAGTATAGTTCATTTGACATTAAATCTTCCTTCTTCTGTCTCAAGAATCCTTTCTCAAGTGCTTTTGAATAAAATGCAATGTGTAACTGTACAATTTTCAATTATTTTAACACATCTTAAAAACAAATAATAAAGGCATTGAAAGAATGTGGATCTTACAAAGTGGATGTTTTTGTTCTTTTGCTTTTTGGTTAATTTCAAAATGGTTTGTGATGAAGTTGGATCAGAAAATCGTTTCTCCTTTTTGGTCCAAGTAAATAGGGCAAAGGAAGGTATCTAAACTAACTGTATTTTTTTATTGTATTAAAAAAATCGTTTTTAATGTTGATTTATTAAATCAGTCAGAGAGAGACAGAATGCGAGCAGGGGAGGACTAGAGAGAGAGGGAGACATAGAATCTGAAGCAGGCTCCAGGCTCTGAGCTGTCAGCACAGAGCCTGATGCAGGGCTCGAACTCATGAACTGCGAGATCATGACCTGAGCTGAAGTCGGCCGCTTAATCAACTGAGCCATCCAGATGCCCCTAAACTAACTGTATTTTTAATATAAATTTCACCGTTCAGTTCACTGACACTGTACTGGGTAATCCATCCTTCATGGTCTTGCTTTATAGGCTTTGAGGTCCTGATAGCCAAGTGAGGGCTGAGGGGTTTTTTTTTGTTTGTTTGTTTATTTACTTTTTAAAAAATTTTTTTTGAATGTTTATTTATTTTGGAGAGAGAGAGAGAGACAGAGCATGAACGGGGAAGGGGCAGAGAGAGGGAAACACAGAATCTGAAGCAGGCTCCAGGCTCCGAGCTGTCAGCACAGAGCCCTACGGGGCTCGAACTCACAAACCGTGAGATCATGACCTGAGCCAAAGTCGGACGCTCAACCGACTGAGCCACCCAGGCGCCCCTATTTGTTTACTTTTTGAGAGAGCATACAAGCAGGAGAGGGGCAGAGAGAGAGGGTGAGTAAAAATCCTGATGTGGGACTCAGTCTCACGAAATGTGAGATGATGACTTGAGCGAAATCAAGAGTGGGATGCTTAACCAACTGAGCCACCCAGGCTCCCCCTGGGTATGTTTTTAGATTCTGCTGGAACCTCTCCAGAATCCTGATACATCTGTTAATTTCACTTACATTGTTGCTACCAACTTTTCCTGCATTTCAGTTATTTTAACTATTTACTCTGTTAACTTCCATTTGAACAATATATTAGCAAGAGAATGGTTTGTTCTTTTTATCATTGATAATTAAAATGCTTTAGGGTAATAGATGTTTCTAATACTTAAATCATTTGTACCTCAGCCCTATCATTTGTAGCTAGCAGTTATCACCCTAGGAGTGAGTGCTATTAACTGTTTAAATATTGCCAGTAAGTCAGGCAGTCTGTCTCTGTGCCCCTGCCCCCCAATCTCTATCCCTCTCCCTCTCCACAGCCCTGAATACTACACTTGAACTAGATTTGTTGGCAGGGTGTGGAGGAGTGCTTTAGAGAAGACTCAGATACATTGAACGGTGCCATATGTCATATGCTGCACTGGTTGCTTCATATTGACTGTTGGTGTGTTTGCTGTCATGTGGAATTAATGAAGGATTTTTACTGCTTTATGACAATTTCCTTTCTTGCCAGCCTCTCCAGTGTGTCCCTCCCACCACCCCCCCCCCACTTCTCCATCCCCTAACAGTAAAGCATACAGAGACACCAAGAACTCCCTTTTCAGTTAGCAACAATAGAGAAGTGAGGTTCCTCCATCCCAACTAACCACCCATCAAAATAAACAACAGTTTCATTCCTCTCTTGCCTTTCCCCTTTCTTGGACTTAGAGGAAAGACAGAATGAACCTCAAAACATAAAGAATTGCTGGTATAGGTGGCACTTTAAGAAATAGCCATTTTCGGGGCACCTGGGTGGCTCAGTCAGTTGAGCATCTGAATTCAGCTCAAGTCATGATCTCACAGTTCGTGAGTTGGAGCCCTGCGTTGAGCTCTGTGCTGACAGCTTGGAGCCTGGAGCCTGATTCGGATTCTGTGTCTGTCTGTCCCTCTCTCTGCCCGTCCCCCATCACACTTTGTTTCTCTCTCTCTTTCAAATATAAATAAACATTAAACAAATTCTTAAAAAGTAGCCATTTTCATTCTTTAACCCTTCACTAGATGATGTCCTAAGCCCCCTTAATATTTTGTGGTTAGAGCACCTGCTTTTTGCTAGATCCAAAGATCAAGTAAAAATAAAAACATTCCTGTCTTTAAGGTATTTTCTTTTCCACCCAGCTTTTACTGAGGTTTAATTGACAAATAAAAGTGTATTTTCATTCTAATAGAGGAGATAAGTCCTGCCTAATTTATAGTGTTTGATCAAAGTCCTAATAATTCTTTTTTTGAATTCTTTGCTTTCCCACTTCAGATTGCTAGGTATTTTGATTATACAGTGTGCTATGACGCCCCAGACTGTTTTCTGTTTAAAATATCAGACTTCCAGGGGCACCTGGGTGGCTCAGTTAAGCATCCAACTTTGGCTCAGGTCACGATCTCGTGGTTCGTGGGTTCAAGCCCCTTGTTGGGCTCTGTACTGACAGCTCAGAGTCTGGAGCCTGCTTTGGATTTTGTGTCTCCCTCTCTCTGCCCCTCCCCCACTCACACTCTGCTCTCTTTCTCTCTCTCAAAAATAAATAAACACTAAAAAATAGACATATATCAGACTTCCATCACAAGGAAATCTTGAATGTGAGGATGCATATTGGCATGTTGTGGTCCTGTGGCTCAAACATATCTTGCAACATAACTGATGCCTACCCACAGATGCTTTTCATTGCAGCCCTCCCACCTGATATTCTCTGTCTGAAGTGTGACTGCATCTCCCAGTATCTTTTAAAATTTCCTGTTTGTAATACAAGAGAATGACAACTCAAGTGGTATTCTACTGAGAGAGTCTTTGTAATAAGGGCCTTAAGCAAACCCACAAATTATAATTCTCTCTAGGGATTATAATTAGGAGGTGTGGATTTTGAGCTGTTGTGTAACCAGGTTTTTTCTATTGCTGTATTTATGGGACATTTTGTTTATTCTCACTCATTTAGTCAACAAAAGGAGCCCAGCAGAACAACCTAATGAAAAGGTCTTGAGTGTGGCTCATTTCTCCCTACCTTCATTGGGGAGGCTCTTTGATTCACAATCTTTTAAGTGATTTTCCTGACACTTTCCCCCCCTCTCCGTATTCTCCATTTAGTTGAGCAACTTGCATCTTAAGGAAGAGAAAATCAAACCAGATGCCAATGGTGAGTAAAAGCTAGTTTGAAAGCACATGTGATTTCCTTTAGTATTTCTGCTGTGACATAACAACTGTCTGGAAAAAAAATTATATATGTACCAGGAAGGGGGCTGACAGATACTGGCAGTTGTTTGATTTGGGAATTAAACTGGACTGTTTTGCTTTGTATTGTCCTTGATATAAGCATGAGGATGCCTAATTGACTTATAAATGATCAAATTGATTGCTGTCCATGAGAATATACTGCCAAAGATTATTTGTTGTTTTTTCAAAATATTCCTCAGTTTGAGATGAGAGAGGCAAAGTATGAGCAACCTGAGAATTAAACTATTGTCATTATCTAAAACCATATCTACCAAAAATCCATTAAATTTTTGTTGATGTACTTAAAATTACTGGCGGGGTGGAGGGAATAGGAACATTAACCTCATTCCAAATTTACTTACAATCTTTTTCTGTATATTTTTTGATAACGACAACATTGTTTGAATATGCATTTCTATTAATCAATAGTTTATATACATAGAATCCTAATGGCATTATAGCGTGTATACATTGATGAAATATGATTTCCTCTGTTGAACATCAAGGTGGTTTGTGATCATTGCCTGCTGTGATCATCTTTCTATAACATTTCAGAAATATTGATGATATGAGGGAAAGTCACATTTGTTTGAGGTATAGTGAGAGGACTTGGAATAGGAAAGAATTGAAATGTTAGAAACATTGTTTCATACCTTTATTTATTTAGGAACAATAAAATGTTTTTATCTGTGGCTTGGTTTCCTCATTTATTTTTCTGCTCCCCAGGCCTTTACATTTCTAGTGTCTCATAGAATTTGAATTGTCTCAGCTGTTGGGTATGGGATGTGATACTGAATGACGGCCACTTTGTGTCTGATAAAGGTGCTGTTGTCAAGACCAATGCTAATTCAGAGAAGGCAGATGAAGAAGAGAAAGGTAACACAGCCTAGAGCTATACCCACAAGGTTCTACAGTCTTAAGAGAATAGATTGTTACATGGCTTTGTTTTTATGCCCAACTTGGTTTGACTTTAATGGGAGTCACAGTGCTAATATATGTGCTGCCGAAGCGAGCACGATTCACAGTGCTAATAAAAGTTCAACATAGTTGTTGAAAGAATTTTCATTGTTTACATTTTAGGGAAATTTTGTTTTGAACCACTGATGGACTCCAGCAGCAGGAAATATTCCCTGAATGATTATCTTGTACAGGGTATTATAAAAGAAATTTTAAGTTGCATCCCCACTGTCTAATAAAGTTAATGATATTTGGACATATTAAACATAGATAACAAGATAGAAATAGCTTATATGATATCAAAATATAAACTTTGTTAATTTCTGGGGGGTTTTTTCCTATTGCTGTGATGTGTTTGTTAAGCTAATAATTTTTAATTTTCTATTGAGCATAGATTGGGGAATAAATACTTAGGTACACATAGGAAGAATAGATAACCTCCAGAAAGGAGAGTTGTTTGGAATAGATCCTGGAGAGGGATATGAGGCCGAATTGCATGATAAAGTCCTAGCACAAATACATGTCACTGCTTAAAATGCCAATGGCAAGTAAATTCAGATGAATTCATGGTGGATTTCATGGCCTTTTAAAATTCTTTGCTCTCAAAACAATGAAAATTAAAAATAAAATAAATAATAAAAAATAAAATAAAATTCTTTGCTCTTTTTTTCCTGACAGAAGACAGAGCTGCCCAGTCTTTACTCAACAAGCTGATCAGAAGCAACCTTGTCGATAACACTAACCAAGTGGAAGTCCTGCAGCGGGACCCAAATTCCCCGCTCTACTCTGTGAAGTCCTTTGAGGAGCTTCGGCTGTGAGTATTTGTTTACTTTCTGACTCTCCCCTTTGTGTTTAGATAGAGATCCTAGTCCTATTATATATGTATTTTTCATCACAGCAGAACATTTTTAGCTAATACAAGTTTAATAAAAGAATTTAGCTGCTTTGGGCTATTAAGTAAAATTGCCAGGTAATGTGAATTGTGCTCAGTTTCACATAATTCAAGTATTGTTAGTTGTAAATAAAATGTGTGTAACAACAGTAAGAAAGAGAAAAAGAAATCCCTTAGATATTTGGCTTCTTTCCTCAACCAAAGAGACAGTGACTTTCATCTTTAACTGTTTTCCTAGGAAACCACAGCTTCTCCAGGGAGTCTATGCCATGGGCTTCAACCGTCCATCCAAGATACAAGAGAATGCATTGCCTTTGATGCTTGCTGAGCCGTATGTGTCCTGATACAACTCTATCCCATTTTTAATATTCCATTTTTTAAAAATCATATTATTTTTTAAAACTATACTAGTAATACATGCTTATTTGAGAAAAGCTAAAAAACAAGGAAAAATAAAAATCATTTGTAGTCTCCACCCCTCACTAACATTTAGAGACTTCTAGACTTTTTTATGTAAACTTACATATCTATAGCTATACCTTTTTTTTAATAATGTTTATTTATTTGAGAGAGAGAGTGCACGAGCAGGGGAGGGGCAGAGGTGGGGGGGAGAGAGAATCCCTAGCAGGCTCCACGCTGTCAGCGCAGAGCCTGATGTGGGACTCAATCTCATGAACCGTGAGATCGTGACCTGAGTTTAGATCAAGAGCCAGACGCTTAAGCGACCAAGCCACCAAGGCGTCCCATACCTTTTTTTTTTTTTTATAGCTAGTTTATTTTTTATTTTATCATGTGTGCAGTTGGGTAAAGGGTAAAGGGGGAGAAGAGAGAGAATCCCAAGTCCCAAGCAGGCTTCACACCTAGTGCAAAACCTGACAGGGGCTTGATCCTGTGACCATGAGATCGTGACATGAGCTGAAATCAACAGACACTCAATTAACTGAGCCACCAGGTGCCCCTATACCTTTTTTAAAAAATAAGAGTAACCATGGGCTTGGGTATGAATGGGTTCGCCCCATCATTCTCCAACAGTCAGGTCACGATCTCGCGGTCTGTGGTTATTTGGAAACCCCACGTGGGGCTTTCCTGGGCTGATGGCTCAGGCAGAGCCTGTTTCGACTTCGTGTGCTCTCTCTCTGCTCCCTCCCCCCTGCTTGCTCTGTCTCCCCTCTCTGTCCCAAAAAGCTAAAGCTTGAAAAAAAATGGGATGCCTGTGGTGCAGGCAGGTTGCCAGCGTCCGCACTTCAGCCACGCACATCTTGCGGTCCGGGAGGGAGTCCCGCTCAGCGGCGATGGGCTCTGGGCGATGGCTCAGAGCCTGAGCCTGCTCGCCTGATCCAGCCCCTCTTCCGTTCTCCCTGTTCTGCCCCCTCCCCCTCTCTGTTCATGCTCTGTCTCTCTCTGTCCCAAAAATAAATAAACGTTGAAAAAAAAAATTAAAAAAAAAGAAAAAAAAATGGAACCATATAAAATCTTCAAATGCTTTTTAAAAACTTAATTAGGGGCACCTGGGTGGCTCAGTTGGTTAAGCGTCTAACTCTTGATTTGGGCTCAGGTAATGATCTTAGGGTCATGAGATCAAACTCCGCATCAGGCTCTGCACTGACAGCTCAGGGCCTGAAGCCTGCTTTGGACTCTCTGTCTCCCTGTCTCTCTTTGCCCCTCCCCAGCTTGTGCTCTGTCCCTCTTTCTCTCAAAAATAAATAAACATTAAAAAAATTTTTTTAGAAACACACAATAAAAAAAGAAAACTTAGATGATCATCTTTCTGTGTTGATAAATAAACATTTATCATTCAGATACACTATGATTTCATTAGATGGATATATAAAATTTATTGTGTCAAATATAACAGGCAAAAACCAGTGTTCTGAAAGACCAGAATAGGGTAATTACCAAGGTTGTTTTCTGGTGCAGTGCTTTTCACTCTTGCATAGGCATATGAATCTCATAGGAATTTATTAAAATACAGATTCTCATTTCAGTCTCCATCTGAGGTGGGGACTAAAGTTCATCTTTTCTAATAAGCTTCTAAGTGATTATGATGATGCTAGTTTCAGGCCACATTTTGAGAAACAAGGTTCGAGAGCATGAGGAACTCTTTATAAAATAAATCCCTACATTATATATGATTATGTAAAATTATGCTGCATATAATTTAAATCCTGAAACTCCTTTTCCTATGGTCTAAAAGTACATATTTTGGGGGTGTGCCTGGGTGGCTCAGTTGGTTAAGCGTCCGATTTTTTTTTTTTTTAATTTTTTTCTAATGTTTATTTTTGAGAGAGGGACAGAGAGACAGAGTGTGAGCAGGGGAGGGGCAGAGAGAGAGGGAGACACAGAATCGGAAGCAGGCTCCAGGCTCCGAGCTGTCAGCACAGAGCCTGACGTGGGGCCCAAACCCACAAACTGCAAGATCATGACCTGAGCCAAGATCATGACCTGACTTTAACCAACTGAGCCACCCAGGTACCCCAGACATCCAACTCTTGATCTCAGCTCAGGTCACGAAGTCAGCGTTGTGAGTTCAGTCCTGCATTGGGCTCTGCACTGGGCATGAAGCCTACTTAAAAAATAATAAAATATAAGTAAATAAAAAAAAGATATTTTAGGTCTGTATTTTCTTAACATTTTCTTTGTTCCATGTCATAATAGTGACTTTTTTCATGATGAATAATGTTGCTTTTTAGCTTGACACTTTGAACATAGAGATGAATAAATGGAATATTTGTTTCACATTGGTCATTTGTGTTTAGAGATCTTTTTTTTTTTTTAAGTTTATTTATTTATTTAGAGATCAGGGGAGGGGAAGAGACAGGAGAGAATCCCCAGCAGGCTCTGCAATGTCAGGTCAGAGCCCAATGTGGAGCTCAAACTCATGAACCGTAAAATCATGATCTGAGCCGAAGTCAGACACTTAACTGACTGAGCCACCCAGGTGCCCCTAGAGATCTTAATGCTTTCATA